GTAAGATAAATACTGGGCACACAGCCTAACACCAATAACTGGTACTCTTATATATATATATTCTCTGACATAAGTTATCATATTAATGTCACATGAAAGAAATCACCAACGACACAGTAAACTCTTCAATGATTACAGGTGCATCCACACACCGCAAATATGTATACCGTGAGAGCTTTCTATAGCCTCACTTCTCCCAACTGTGTCCTACCGTGACATAGACATTGGTGAGCCTTGCTCACAACATGAAAGATACTCTGGCTAAATATATAGCTGACTAAAGGGGAATTGGGAGGGAAACTGAATCACCTACTTCCACCTCACTGATGTGGACTCACCCTCCGGTGAGAGTTGAATTGTAGCTCCTGGTCCCGGCTCTCCCCTCGTTGTAGGGAACGCCCCCACACACACACTGTGATGATCACTCCAGGAACCCAATCAACGTCCCACAATAAACGTGTCGTCTCCGTGCTCTGTTCTCCGCAGGTCTGTGCTCCTCCACAACTTCCTGAAGGGTTGGAGTCGGTCTCCTGGCCGTCGACTTCTCCTCGCAACTACATCTGCAAACCTACTTCTCGGCTGCAATCGTCCTGATTCCCAATTAGTTTTCTTCTCCCACTGCTTCCCGGTGGACTGGCCCAGCCGCTACGTCGTAACAAGATGGGTGAACTGCTTCAGACGTCACTGCATAGACTTCACTTCTTCTTGCACAGCACCTGTCCCTGGAGCACTTGTTGCTCAATATTCCGTCGATTCCCTCTTCGGTCCAACACATGGAATGAAAGAAGACCTCACAGCGTACTTGCAGACTACGGGTGATGCGTAAAATCCACGGGAGCGGGGTACAACTGTCAAACTGACAGGACCAACCTTCCTACGTCCGTCCACCTTGACGTGTCATGTCAGACTGGTGGCGCCAAAGAGGCGTGATCTCTGGACCTCCCCTGCCTTCGTGACATCATACGTGCCAGGGGCGGTTTTCGTTGGCTCCCTGTGCCACGTCACTGTCAGTGACCAATCTGGTGCCACTGACGTCACACAGTTTTGGCGGCAAAACGGAGGGGCTGGCGCCATATTGGCGTCCTAAAGGGCCTAAACAACAGGCTAAAATACTTTTCTTTTACGAATTTCTCGCCAACGCAAGAACACTACACTCTCCCACATATGTCAAACTGTTGCCCACAATGTAGAGAATGCTCGGGTAAAGTGGATATGACTCTTACAGCTGGCGTGGGAGAAATATAAGGGGGGAACATCGTCACAGTATGTATGTATGTACGGATGTATGTATGTATGTATGTATGCATGCATGCATGCATGCATGCATGCATGCATGTATGTATGCATGCATGTATGCATGCATGTATGCATGTATGTATGTATGTGTTACGACCCTGGGTTCTTCAGTGGAAACCAGAGGTCAAAATTGAGTTATTAAACTTTCCTGTAGTATAGTTGAACGCAACTCGATGTGTCATTGTTTGTATCTTCCCTGCCAGACGTAAGACTATTCTGGTTTCTCAAAGAGCATTTAAAGACTGAGCTGGGGGTTGATTATTAAATAATAACATAGGCACCAACTATGTTTACTAATACTTTAATCATTTGTAAAGTAACAATATGTTGCATAGGGGAAGATTTTTAATGTGCTTAGCTGCACGATCACTTAGGCTCCTTCCGGCACCACCACATGCGGGAGGCCTGAGCTGCTCGCTGAAGCGGTCTTCTCTGGTTGCTGGCTGTGGTGAAAGGAACTACCTCCTCCTTCCTCTTCGTTTCCTTATTTCTGTCTTGTTCAAGATAAGTATATACTGAGTACATTATTCAATCTCTGGCATACTCATGTTCTATGTGTAGAGTAGAATATTTTGTGTGTAGTAGGTGTTTTTAGAGTTTATATTACTAGTTATTCTAAATGGGGTCCCATTGGAACCACGTGGCCCCCTACCCTAAGCTGACTCTAACTTCAAGTTATTCAATAGTAGAGCTTTACCCTAGCTTGTGTTCAGTGTAAAACCTTGTATCCTGCTTATGTGGACCAAGGCTTTTAACGAAAGGTAGTGTGGTAAAGTTATTATTATTATTGTTATTGGTGTGAATGTATATGGGGGGTGTTAAGGGGTTAATAAATAAGTACATGAATTATAGGAGTATCGTTCTTCCTGTGTAGGAGATCTTGATCATTCCCTAGACTGACCTTGTTGTGTAGCCAAGTAGTCAGCACTACTACTTTTTTCCATGGGGGCCGGGCCTTACTGATCTCCCAAAATAAGTACATCTTTATTCCGACTGACCTTACCCCTGAATAGCACTAGTTTCCCCATAGCAAGCCCACCATTTATTATAACAGTATGTATGTATGTATGTATGTATGTATGTATGTATGTATGTACTCACTTATTTGTGCTTGCGGGGGTTGAGCTTTGCCTCTTCGGTCCCGCCTCTCAACTGTCAATCAACTGGTGTACAGATTCCTGAGCCTATTGGGCTCTGTCATATCTACATTTGAAACTGTGTATGGAGTCAGCCTCCACCACATCACTGCCTTACGCATTCCATTTGATAACTATTCTGACACTGAAAAAGATATTTCTAACGTCCCTGTGGCTCATTTGGGTACTCAGTTTCCACCTGTGTCCCCCCTTGTTGCGTACCGCCAGTGTTGAATAGTTTATCCTTGTCTACCCTGTCAGTTCCCCTGAGGATTTTGTAGGTAGTGATCATGTCTCCCCTCACTCTTCTGTCTTCCATTGTCGTAAGGTGCAATTCCCGCAGTCCTGTATGTGTGTGTATGTATGTTTGTGTGTATTTGTATGTATGTATGTATGTACGTATGTGCGTATGTATGTATGTATGTATGTATGTATGTGTGTGTATGTATGTATGTATGTATGTACTCACCTAGTTGTGCTTGCGGGGGTTGAGGTTTGGATCTTTGGTCCCGCCTCTGAACCATCAATCAACTGATGTACAGATTCCTGGGTCAACTGGGCTCTATCACATCTACATATGAAACTGTGTATGGAGTCAGCCTCCACCACATCACTTCCTAGTGCATTCCATTTACTAAATACTCTGACACTGAAAGAGTTCTTTCTAATGTCTCTGTGGTTGCTGGGTCGTGCGTTTTAATATTAATATATTTTGGTAGCAGTGTGTTTATTTTGGTGTGTTCTGTCTTCTATTTCACCTCACCTAAAACTTTTGTGCCATATCATCTCTCCCAAAACGAGTAAAAGTATAAATGTATTTTGTGTGTAAACTAAGTCTTTGAAAATGTAATAAGGAATTACGAAACGCGTTCAGGCGTCAGACCAGGAATAAAAAGAATGAATTTTGGAGAGTTGCTTTATCAATTACCCTCGACAGTGAAGAAGAACGTAAGAAATATTGAGATGATTCGTGTTAGAATTATTATTGATGATTCGTGTTAGAATTACCCTTTCGGTCATATTCAACAACATATGTTTACAAGAAAGACTGCTACCAAAATATACTAATATTAAAATGCACGACCCAGCAGCAAGAAACCAAGCCTTCACGATAAAATATCGCCAAGATCTAATTCGAAATCAGATACACAAGGCAGAAAATGAGATCAACGATAGCAAAACGCAACTACTTCATGCTACAGACCAGTAGAGAAACACAAACATCGACGAAGACCTCCGTACTCGAATCGACCAACACCTCGACATCCTTACAGATCGACATAGCCACAGCACCGAAACCAGGATCACCAAGAAACTGACAGCATTATTTGGAGGACCTATGGCGATTCCACGACCCAGAGATGGCTTCTTAAACCTTACTGGAATCAACCTTACTGAGGATCAAATCACTCTCCTAAATCTGGGTATAAACTGTCATGTTATGTCCAGACCATGTGAGATGGCCCGGAAAGTGGAGTTGGAGATCCTGTTGGATGACATATTCGACCTCGAGACGCAAAAGAAGGTTACCGCCAAAGACACCTTGCAAGCGTAACTTATTGCAGAAGGAGGAAAGACTCGAGGTAACTACAGAAGCACCATACTGTTCCCAAAGCTCAAAGCGGCAGCTAAGAGCCTTCGTGAGAATAAGAAAATAGTCGTCAGGAGAGGTGACAAGTCGCCAATATGTTATTCTTAAAAAAGATGAATATCTGGCAAAAATGAACCTCATACTCTCCGACCAAACTAAATTCCAAAGGGTAACGAAGGACACTACAGCCGAATTGAAAATAAAGGTAAACCGATTGATTGAAACTGTGAACGCCAAGAAATCCGGACTCCACTTGCCAAAGGTTATTGGGAATACAAACCTGGTTATGAGTATGGGAATGTCAAGACCCACAAGCCTGGAAACCCACTTCGGTCAATCATCAGCCAGATACCCACACCGACATACAGACTGGCTAAGCGACTCAATTGCTTGCTGACCCTTTATGTACTCTGTGCTTTCAGCCTGAAGTCTCCAAAGGAATTTGTTGATTTACTGTGGGGAGCACGGGCCATGGGGATAAGAGCCTCGTTGGATGTAGTCACTGTTTACCAACGTACCTGTGGATGAAACAATCGGGATGATAGCGGATAGAGTGTATCGTGATCCCGCTTGTACTCCTCTTGATGTCCCAGAAAACATACTAAGGAAGCTACTCCAATCCTGCACTAAAGATGCACCTTTCTTGAGTCCAGATGGGCACGTGAATAAGCAAGTAGATGGGGTCGCCATGGGTTCTCCCCTAGGTGTCCTGTTTGCGAACTTCTACATGGGTACCATCGAGCAGAAGTCTTAGTTGACATGGACTTGAAACCCTCCATATACTGCAGGTGTGTTGACATTTTTATGCAGGTACCTGATGTCAGACGCCTGCAGCAGCTGAAGGAGGCATTCGAGCAGAATTCTGTGTTGAGTTTCACGTACGAGATGGAGAATGATGGAAGCTGCCTTTTCTAGATGTAACAGACACGGAAAGGAACGGAGGCGTCCACACTACAGTCTACACTGAGGAAACAAACATCGGAATGTGCCTCAATGCCAATAGTGACTGCCCAGACAGGGGTAGGTTTGTTGTAGGCAGGCTCGTTGACGGCGGCAGGTTTGTTGTAGGCAGGCTCGTGGACTGTGGCAGGTTTGTTGTAGGCAGGCTCGTTGACGGCGGCAGGTTTGTTGTAGGCAGGCTCGTTGACGGCGGCAGGTTTGTTGTAGGCAGGCTCGTTGACGGCGGCAGGTTTGTTGTAGGCGTCGTTGACGGCGGCAGGTTTGTTGTAGGCAGGCTCGTTGATGGCGGCAGGTTTGTTGTAGGCAGGCTCGTTGACAGCGGCAGGTCTGTTGTAGGCAGGCTCGTTGACAGGCGGCAGGTTTGTTGTAGGCAGGCTGTTGTAGGCAGGCTCGTTGACGGCGGCAGGTTTGTTGTAGGCAGGCTCGTTGACGGCGGCAGGTTTGTTGTAGGCAGGCTCGTTGACGGCGGCAGGTTTGTTGTAGGCAGGCTCGTTGACGGCGGCAGGTTTGTTGTAGGCAGGCTCGTTGACGGTGGCAGGTTTGTTGTAGGCAGGTGGACTGTGTTGTAGGCAGGCTCGTGGACGGTGGCAGGTTTGTTGTAGGCAGGCTCGTGGACGGTGGCAGGTTTGTTGTAGACAGGCTCGTTGACGGCGGCAGGCTTATTATAGACAGGCAAGATGTGTACCTGGCTGTTAAGGGGGGCATAACTGCGTTTCTTATAAGTTATTCAATGTTAACTAATCTTTTTTTACTAGTTTATATAAAAAGGGCTGCAATTGTTCCAGGTTTATTGCAGCCTAAATGGAAAGGGAAATTTTTTGTTTGTCTTTTGTTTTTTTCAACGAATTTTACACATTTTCAAATCCTTATAACAGCCACAAGTTTCAGATGAAATCATTTCTATAACACTTTTCTATCACGTTAGCATATAATAAAAGGATCTGTCAAGCGGATTTTAAAAAATATGATTAGTTTTATTAATACAAATAATCAAAGTTCCATAAAGAAATTATGCAAAGATATCATGGTTTATTACTGTTATTAAATCCATAAATAAACTTAGAAAAAAAATGCATTTTACAGATTTGTAGAGACAAATTCTACATATCAGGTGCAATTTTCATGTAAATTGAATTAAAAATGAAAGCGTTATAGGAACTCTTATGTTACTTGAAAATAAATAAGTAAAAAAACAAATCATCTGTGGCTGACGTTGACATCAACCAATTTACTGGCACCCTTGGCACCCTTACAGATAGGCTTACGTGTAGTCAGGTGTATAAGGTTCATACAAATCGTCCGATAAACAAATAAGAAAAACAAAAATGAAAAAAAAGGGTTTTTGATTTTTTTAATTTATTTTTTTAACAGAACTAATTATTAAATATTTTTATTATATGCTATTGGGATATGAGGGAGTCATAGACATGATTTCAGTTGACACTTGTGTTTGATGTTAATTTTTGACAATTTTGGAAAATTTTTAACACATAATTCAATATTTTTTTCTCCCTTCCTATTTATGCTACGATGCTGAGACTTGGACCAGATGAAACCCTTTTCATATACAACTCGACAAAAAAGTTTAACTAGTTTTCAATTATTGCATATTTGGCACTGATGCCCTCTTAAACAATTTGGCGGGTCATATTCTGGGAAATATTAGGATTAAGGACCTGCCCGAAACGTTATGCGTGCTAGTGGCTGTACAAGAATGTAAGAACTTTTGTGTGTAGAAATAAAAAAAACAAAAAGTCCAGGGTAGCGACGATTGGCCTGTGGATGGCCTTTGGTGGGATTTCCTTATTAATATCGTTAAGTCCTCCTTACTTTATGAGGGGAGACGGCGTGCTCCACAAAGTGCGCATTTCTTGGTGGTGGTGGTGGTGGTAGTGCATTCCCTGTAGTTGTGGGCGCCGGAGCCTAAGGTGCACTGAGCTGTTGGCTCTGGGCACTTGTTTGAGAAGTGCTCATAATTAAAACACTTGAAGCATTATCGCACGTTGAAGCTTTTTTTTCATGGCGATCTGGTTAGGTGAGGTGATCCTGCAGCTCGTCCTCCTAAGTTTTCCCAACATGATGAAAACGGTCAACAAAAATGTCAACGTGACAGAAACACGTGAACAGAAAACGTGACAGTATGGAAGCGGCTCACTTTCGCGAGCCGCTTCCATTTTCTTGTATGACAAATTTTGGCCTTATGTTACGCATACGAGCGAAAAGCGATGTTCTTTTTAGTAGTTCTCGTTGTTGACCTGTCGCACTATGTTGTCTGGGGCCTCACCCGCTATACAGCGGTTCAATATACTGACAATAATCGTTCTCCCAGCCATAATTTACCTGGAAGTGATCGGCGACAGATTGGCCTCTAGTAGCGACACGTGATTGGCTGAATCCTGGATATCAGAATGTCTTCTTTCGTTTCCACGCTTACTGCGGCCTCAATTTTGTGAGCGTAACGATCATCACCCCCAACTGAAGTTGCCCTGTCGATGGCGGCTGCAATGTCACGCTTTGAGTGCTCGTAGACCCCAAGGGGTCACATTTTCAACTTTGTCTTGTAGGTGATGGTAGCAGATTCGGCCTTAGTTTACGCTGTCCACAAAGTTACCTTGGCAACACCTCAGCAGCTTGGACTGACAGTGGGAACTGTAACGTACGATTATATTACGTTGTTGAGTAGATTAGATACACAGTGTTTAGTGGGTGTTCATATTTATTTAGTAGTCTTGGATACAGCAGTGTCATGGACGTTGAGACGGAGCTTGGAGCGGAGCAGAGAGCTGAGTGAGGCCGGAGTCGGGGAGCTCTATGTGGGAGAGCGTTGTAGCTCGATGCGGTCCTAGTCTGCTGTCTGTTCTGTGTCGAAGCTGTAGCGTCTTGGGGTTGATTAGAATTGCATACGCTGAGTGCTACATTCTTGACTGTGGAAATTGTACTGTTGGCTATTCTTATATCGCTTGCTTATATTCGGTGACTATACCTCAGCTTCCTCCACTAGGATAGGAGGATGGAAGAACTGTTACCTGTATGTGTGTGTACGGGAGACATCTCCCGTCCACGAGGCTAACCATAGCCCGTGCTTCTTGCCCCGCTCCTGTGCCAGGTAAGTTACGGGCTCATCATAGCCCGTGCTACTTGGAACTTGTTCCGAGTAGCTGAATCTATAACAACAACAACATGTTACCTGAAATTAGGGAAGAGATTATAGCTTCTGTAATTAGTGCTAATTAGTTACGCCAATAAGCTAATGAGAAGTTGGAGCGAGTATATTGTTTGAACAATAAATAACTAGTACATATACATTAAATACACAACTACAGTGTCGTGAGGGGAAGGGCCGGTGGCCGAGCGGACAGCATGCTGGACACGTGATCCTGTGGTTCCGGGTTCGATCCCGGGCGCCGGCAAGAAACAATGGGCAGAGTTTCTTTCACCCTTGCCCCTGTTACCTAGCAGTAAATAGGTACCTGGGAGTTAGTCAGCTGTCACGAGCTGCTTCCTGAGGTGTGTGTGTCTGTGTGTGGGGGGAAAAAAATAGTAGTAGTAGTTAGAAACAGTTGATTGACAGTTGAGAGGCGGGCCGAAAGACCAGAGCTCAACCCCCGCAAGCACAACTAGGTGAATACACAATTTCACAAATACACATACAAAACAAGTACAATTAATACCCAACTTTCACAAGCAATACACAATTTGAAAGAATATAATCAATACATAATTATAATCATCATACAACTTATGCAAAATACATAACCTGCATTAATTAATACACAACTTGCACAAGTATATTAATTGTTATATGTACAAATACTCTCACAGTCAACTAGGTCAAACAATACACAATTTGCATGATATTTTTCTAGGTATGTTTAGGACATTATTTATAATATGCTGAGAGTGACCAATCCACCAAAAGTCAGAATTTCACATGAATGAATAATACGTCAGACATCCTATGAGCTCAATATAAAAACACATACATTTTCCATTAATGTTTCAACATTATTAGTGCTAGCCTATTCATCTAACATATGTATATTGTTTTTAATGCCTTATTAATACCCTCTTGTTAGATATTCTTCAATTAAGTCACCTAAATAAATATAGGTGACTTAATTGAAGAATTTGATTGAAGAATTAATTGAAGAATTGAATTGAAGAATTGAATTGAAGAATTAATTAAAGAGATCTTGTCAGATCCGCTTACATTAAGTCACCCATATTTATTTAGGTAAACCATCCAATTGGTTCTTACCATAGTTATGTTAGGGACAGGTGAGGTTAGGTGAAGTCAGTAGTTTCTATGATAATTAAAACAAATTTACTATATCCTAACAAAAATGCAATCAATTAGAATCTAAATTCATCTAAATCTATCAAAAATTATACGTATACTATAGAAATTTAACCAAATTCAACCTAGCAAAGCTTAATTAACTGATATGAGCAACCCATATCCTCACATACAAGCCTAGGTCACCTCTGACCATACATTACATAAGTTAGCTATAGCTCGACCCCCCTTCCCAAATTGGTAAATTTACAATATTTTATGAACATGCTAGTTCATTACCCCTACGATATTATATATCCTACCCTATACAACCTCACCAAACATATCCAAAGCTAGATTTGATTAAAGTTGGCCAAAGTTAAGCTATTCCCACCTAAATTCAACCAAATTTAATTCATTTTCCACCAAATATACCCAAATAATTTGTAACAGCACAGCCAATGCCCATTTTTGTCCACATTTGCACCTATTCCAACCTACCCTACATGACCTTACCTAACCAGACCTAGTATATCCAAAGCTAGATTTGAATAAAGTTGGCAAAATTTATGCTGCCACAGCCAATTTCCATTTTTACTCGCCTTTTCACCTATTCCATCTTACCCTACACAACCTTACCTAACCCGACCTAGTATATCCCCAAGCTATATTTGAATAAAAGTTGGTGAAATTTATGCTGTCCCACCTAAATTCCCCTACACCACCTTACCTAACCTCACCTGACATATCCAAAGCTAGATATGATTAAAGTAGGCCAAATTTAAGCTAATCCCACCTAAATTCAACCTAATTTAATTCAATTCCACCAAATATACGCAAATGTTTTGTATCATAGCCCAGCCAATGTCTATTTTTACCCTCATTTTCACCTATTCCAACCTACCCTACACCACCTTACCTAACCTGACAGCATATCGAAAGCTAGATTTAATTAAAGTTGGCAAAATTTATGCTGACCCACCTAAATTCAACCTAATTTAATTCAACTCCCACCAAATATACCCAAATGTTTTGTAACATAGCACAACCAATGCCCATTTTTACCCCCATATTTTCACCTATTCCAACCTACCCAACACGACCTTGCGTAACCAGACCTAGTATCCAAAGCTAGATATGATTAAAGTTGGCAACATTTATGCTGTCCCACCTAAATTAAGAGAAATCCCGCCAAATATTCCCAATGTTTTGTATCATAGCACAGCCAATGTCCAATTTTTACTTGCCTTTTCACCTATTCCATCCTACCCAACACAACCTTACCTAACCCGACCTAGCATATCCTTAGCTAGACTTGAATAAAAGTTAGTGAAATTTATGCTGTCCCACCTAAATTCAACCTAATTTAAGAATTTTATTACCAAATATGCCCAAAAATGTTTTGTATCATAGCACAACCAAAGCCCATTTTATCCAAGTTTCACCTATTCCATCTAAACTTCCAATATCCAACATCCAGTCTTGGCAGAACATCCCCCATTCACAAGACCATTTCATAGAGCTAGTGCTCTAAACATTAGCTATATACATCCAAATTATCCCAATTTGTAACAATTCCAGTAAATTTATCCTAATTATATCAAACCAAAACCCCTAATTCTAGTAAATGTACCTATGCAAATCACATCCAGAGTACGAGGCAACTGTCAGTAGCTGATAATGTCTACTTCTAACATTCATTCCAACCTAGAATAAGGCTAATTTTGTTAATATATTATTATGCAAAGTATGTTATTAATAGGTATTTTCCTCAAATTACCACATATCTACCACCTTGAACCTAACCTCTGGTACGACATATACTCAGAAAAGTGTTAATTTCGTATATATACCTAAATGCCCGTGCCTAACCTGCAAGGAGTCTTGGAACTTTTTGTCGAATATTGTATCTATATTTTTAGAAAAGCGAAGTTTTGGATACGAACCCAACCGCACTGTGCCTAATGTGCTTGGATCTGTGCTGAAAATTTTATCCATATTCATAGAAATGTGATGATTTGGATATGACCGTAACTGCCCTCTCACCTATTAAACTTGGATTTATGTTCAATATTGTAGCTATATTGTTGGGTAAGTGTTTTGTTTTTACACCTAACCCTTTATCTAATCTCAAATTTATCGTATTTGTGGGAACAAGTGTTGTTTATGCATCAACCCAACAGCCCTGGACCTAACCTCTGATACATGGATCTTGGTTTAATATTGCATCATATTCTTAGCCATGTTTGTTATTTTGTTACATCAATACAACCATCCCAACCTAACCTCTATTACCTGGGGGGGTTAATGAAAAATGTGTCAATAATGGGAATTTTCTCTACATCAGTTCAACTTATCCATCCTTAACCTAACCTTATATACCTAAATCTTAACTCCATTTTACAACATATTTTTCCAGAAAGGGATATGACTAGCTAAACTATACAATTACCAAATCCCAATTTTCCTTATCCTTATCTTAATATCTTCCTTTCCTTATCTGAGACCTCACCCCGCACAGTGACTCGCTGCCTTCTGTTGCTTAGGTACTCCCTTATCCAATAGAGTACCTTCCCATTCACTCCTGCCTGCATCTCCAGCTTGTGCGCTAGCCTCTTGTGTGGTACTGTATCAAAGACTTTTTGGCAATCCAAAAATATGCAGCCTGCCCAGCCTATGCTTTCTTGCCTGATTTGTGTTGCCTGGTCATAGAACTCAATTAATCCTGAGAAGCATGATTTGCCATCCCTGAACACATGCCGATGTTGTGTTACAAAGTTCTTTCGCTCCAGATGTCCCACTAGCTTTTTTCGCACAATCTTCTCCATCACTTTGTTATGTATGTTAATCAGGGACACTGGGTCTGTAGTTCAGTGTCTCCTGTCTAACCACCCTTCTTGTATATAGGAACTACATTAGCCTGTGTGTGTGTGTGTTTTCACCTAGTCATGCTTGCGGGGGTTGTGCTCTGCTCTTTCAGCCCGCCTCTCAACTGTCAATCAATCAACTGCTACTAACTACTAACTAAATTCCCCCCCCCTTCCCCACAGGAAGCAGCCCGTAACAGCTAACTCCCAGGTACCTATTTACTGCTAGGTTACATGGGCAACAGGGTTTAAGAAACTCTGCCCATTGTATATATGTGTGTGTGTGTCTGTAATTACCTAAGTGTAGTTACAGGATGAGAGTTACGCTCGTGGTGTCCCGTCTTCCCAGCACTCTTTGTCATGTGTGTGTGTACTCACCTAGTTGTGCTTCCGGGGGTTGAGTCTTGGCTCTTTGGACTCGCCTCTCAACTATCAATCAGTCAACTGATTTATTACCCCCCCCCCTTCCCCCTCCCCCCTCCTCCTCCCCCCCACACACAGGAAGCAGCCCATAGCAGCTTTCTAACTCCCGGGTGCCTATTTGGTGCCGGGTAAACGGGAGCATCAGGGGTGAAAGAAACTGCCCATTTAATTGGGTTCGATCCCCAGTGCTGGGGATCGAACCCAGACCCCTTAGGACTATGAATGCCGAGCGCTGTCCACTCAGCCATCAGGCCCCGAACATAACAAACGTGTACGTACGTGTACTCACCTATTTGTGCTTGCGGGGGTTGAGCTTTATCTCTTTGGTCCCGCCTCTCAACTGTCAATCAACTGGTGTACAGGTTCCTAAGCCTACTGGGCTCTATCATATCTACATTTAAAACTGTGTATGGAGTCAGCCTCCACCACATCACTGCCTAATGCATTCCATCCGTTAACTACTCTGTCACTGAAAAAGTTCCTTCTTACGTCCCTGTGGCTCATGTGGGTACTCATTTTCCACCTGTGTCCCCTTGTTCGCGTCCCGCCAGTGTTGAATAGTTCATCCTTGTTTACCCGGTCGATTCCCCTGAGGATTTTGTAGGTTGTGATCATGTCCCCCCTTACTCTTCTGTCTTCCAGTGTCGTAAGGTGCATTTCCCGCAGCCTTTCCTCATAACTCATGCCTCTTAGTTCTGGGACTAGTCTAGTAGCATACCTTTGGACTTTTTCCAGCTTCGTCTTGTGCTAGACAAGGTACGGGCTCCATGCTGGGGCCGCATACTCCAGGATTGGTCTTACATATGTGATGTACAAGATTCTGAATAATTCCTTACACAGGTTCCTGAACGCTATTCTGATGTTAGCCAGCCTCGCATATTTGGTTTGGTGTGATATCAACTCCTAGATCTTTCACTCTGTTTCAGTAAGTACTTCATCTCCTATTCTGTATCCTGTGTCTGGCCTCCTGTTTCCACTGCCTAGTTTCATTACTTTGCATTTACTCGGGTTGAACTTCAACAGCCATTTGTTGGACCATTCACTCAGTCTGTCTAGGTCATCTTGTAGCCTCCTACTATCATCCTCTGTTTCAGTCCTCATAATTTTTGCATCATCGGCAAACATTGAGAAGAACGAATCTATACCCTCTGGGAGATCATTTACATATACCAGAAACGGTATAGGTCCAAGGACTGACCTCTGCGGGACTCCACTTGTAACGTCTCGCCAATCTGAGACCTCACCCCTCACACAGACTCGTTGTCTCCTGTTGCTTAGGTACTCCTTTATCCAATGGAGTACCTTCCCTTTCACTCCAGCCTGCATCTCCAGCTTTTTCACTAGCCTCTTGTGTGGTACTGTATCAAAGGCTTTCTGACAATCCAAAAATTTGCAGTCTGGCCACCCTTCTCTTTCTTGCCTTATTTTTGTTGCCTGGTCGTAGAGTTCAAGTAACCCTGTGAGGCAGGACCTGCCATCCCTGAACCCTGGCTAATTTAAGAGCATTCCCACCAAATATTCCCAATGTTCTGTATCATAGCACAGCCAATTTCCATTTTTACTCGCCTTTTCACCTATTCCATCTTACCCTACACAACCTTACCTAACCCGACCTAGTATATCCCAAGCTGTGGGGAGGAGGTGAGGGGCTATAGTACTGGTTTGTGGGGAGAGGTGAGGGGCTATAGTTCTGGTGTGTTGGGGAAAGGTGAGTGGCTATAGTACTGGTGTGTGGGGGGAGGTGAGGGGCTATAGCACTGGGGGACTTGAGGGGCAAAAGTAGTTGTGGTGTTTGGGTGGAAGATGAGGGGCTATAGTCTTGGTGTGGAGGGGGGTAAGGTGAGGGGCTATAGTACTGGTGTGGAGGGGGGGATGTGAGGGACAATAGTATTGGTGTGTGGGGGGAGGTGAGTTGAGGGGCTATAGTACAGGTGTGTGGGGGGGAGGTGAGGGGCTATAGTACTAGTGTGAGGCGGAGGTGAGGGGCTATAGTTCTGGTGTGTGGGGGGGGAGGTGAGGGGCTATAGTACTGGTGTGTGTGGGGCGGGGAGGTGAGGGGCTATAGCACTGTGTGTGTGGGGTGGGGGAAGTTGAGGGGCTATAGTTTTAGTGTGGTGGGTGGGGGAAGGTGAGAAGCTATAGTATTGGTGTGTGGGCGAGGTGAGGGGTTATAGTACTGGTGTGTTGGGAGGTGAGGGGATATAGTACTGGTATCTGGGGGGGGAGATGAGGGGCTATAGTACTGGTGTGTGTGGGGGGGGAAGGTGAGGGGCTATAGTACTGGTGTGTGGGGAGGGGAGGTGGGGGGCTATAGTATTTGTGTGTGGGTGGGAGGGGAGGGGAGGGGCTATAGTACTGGTGAGTGGGGGAGGGGTAGTTGAGGGGCTATAGTACTGGTGAGTTTGCGGGGGAAGTGAGGGGCTATAGGATTGGTGTGTGGGGGAGGTGAGAAGCTGTATTACTGGTGTGTGGGGGAGGTGAAGGGCTATAGTACTGGTGTGTGGAGGGGAGGTGAGGGGCTATAGTTTTAGTGTGGGGGGAGGTGAGGGGCTATAGTACTGGTGTGTGTGTGTGTGGAGGAGGTGAGAAGCTATAGTATTGGTGTATGGGGGAGGAGGTGAGCGGCTATAGTATTGGTTTGTGTGGGGGAGGTGAGGGGTATTAGCATTGGTGTGTGGGGGGGGGAGGTGAGGGGCTATAGTATTAGTGTGTGGGGGGAGAGGTGAGGGGCTACAGTATTGGTGTGTGGGGGAGGTGAGAAGCTATAGTATTGGTGTGTGTGGGGGAGGTGAGGGGTTATAGTATTGGTGTGAGTTGGGAGAAAGTGAGGGGCTATAGTATTAGTGTGTGGGGGGGAGGGTGAGGGGCTATTAGTATTGGTGTGTGGGGGGGGGAGGTGAGGGGCTATAGTATTGGTGTGTGTGGGGGAGGTGAGGGGTTATAGTACTGGTGTGAGTTGGGAGAAAGTGAGGGGCTATAGTATTAGTGTGTGTGGGGGAGGTGAGGGGTATTAGCATTGGTGTGTGGGGGGTTAGGTGAGGGGCTATAGTATTGGTGTGTGTGGGGTAGGTGAGGGGTTATAGTACTGGTGTGTGTTGGGAGGTGAGGGGATATAGTACTGGTGTCTGTGGGGGGGAGATGAGTAGCTATAGTACTGGTGTGTGGGGGGGGAGGTGAGGGGCTATAATATTAGTGTGTGGGGGGGAGGTGAGGGGCTATAGTATTAGTGTGTGGGGGGAAGGTGAGGGGCTATACTACTGGTGTGGGGAGGGGAGGTGAGGGGCTATAGTATTAGTGTGTGGGGGGAAGGTGAGGGGCTATACTACTGGTGTGTGGGGAGGGGAGGTGAGGGGCTATAGTATTTGTGTGTGGGGGGAGGGGGAGGGGCTATAGTACTGGTGAGTGGGGGAGGGGTAGTTGAGGGGCTATAGTACTGATGTGTTTGCGGGGGAAAGTGAGGGGCTATAGGATTGGAGTGTGGGGGAGGTGAGGGGTATTAGCATTGGTGTGTGGGGGGGGGGAGAGGTGAGGGGCTACAGTATTGGTGTGTGAGGGGAGGTCAGGGGCTATGTTTTTGCTGTGTATGGGGGAGGTGAGGGGCTATAGTGCTGGTGTGTAGGGGGAGGTAAGGGGTTATAGTACTGGTATGTGTTGGGGAGGTGAGGGGTTATAGTACTGGTGTGAGGGGTGGAAAAATGAGGGGCTATA